AAAAGAACTTTTCACATCAAATAAGTTTGATATAACTCATATCTTCAAGAGATTAGAAAATAATTCTAATATAAAACCAACCACTATTTAGGATCTTCAGATTGAGATTAACAATCTCAAAAGTGAGATTCGTCAGATCAAAGAACAACAACAAATTCATCAAGTTATTCTTTCATAACTTGAAGATGATGATGAATCTGAAGTTGTAGAAGAACAACTCTATGAGAAAAAAGATTCTAAAATAATTTATTCTAATAATCCATAAGAGTTTTTTATGAATTTAATCAATAAGGTCAAAATTCAAAAATTTTATATTAACATCAGAATCATTATTGATGATTTTGTTCTTGACACTTTAGCTCTCTTTGATACAGGTACTGATTCAAACTGTATTTTAGAAGGATTAATTCCTACTAAATACTTTGAGAAAACTTTTGAAAAATTTAGCACTGCAAATGGTTCAAAGCTTAAAATTAATTATAAATTATCTAAAGCTATTATTGAAAATCAAGGTTTTAAGGTAGAAACAAATTTTTTCCTTGTTAAAAATTTGAAAAATAAAGTTATTTTGGGAACACCTTTTAATATAGCTCTGTTCCCCCTTCAAATTTCAAAAGATGGATTTTCAACTTATCATCTAGGTAAGCAAATAACATTTAAACTTTCTAGCAAACCTTTTACTAGAAATATTAATTTTTTCTCATTCTATTGATCAACATTTCAAGCATATAAATATTTTCATTAATATTGTCAAACAAAATGGTCTTGCGGTCTCAAAATAAAAAATCAACCTGTTTTAAACCAATATTAGGTTCCTTGATCATAATATTCATTAGGGTACCATCATCCCTATTAGTAGATCTTTTGAATTTGCTAATAAATTTCCTAATAGAATCCTTAATAAAACTCAGTTACAAAGGTTTTTAGGATGTCTTAATTATGTAGGTGATTTTATTCTGCACCTTAACAACATCATTAAGCCTTTATATGATAGGCTTAAAAAAAATCATCCTTGGACAGATGTTCATACTAATGTCGCCAGGGAGATCAAAACCAAAGTAAAAGATATAAAGTGTCTTTATTTTCCAATACCTCAAGCTTTCAAAATTGTCAAAACTGATGCCTCTAACATAGGATATGGTGGCATTCTCAAACAAAGAGTCAACTCCTATGAGCATATTATTGCATATGCTTCAAAACATTGGAATTCTACACAACAGAATTATTCAACTGTTAAAAAAGAAGTTTTAGCAATTGTTTTATGCGTTTCAAAATTTCAATTAGATTTATTAAATTAAAAGTTTTTTATTAGAATAAACTGTAAATCTGCCAAAGAAATTTTATAAAAAGATGTTAAAAACCTCGCTTCCAAACAAATTTTTGTGAGATGTCAAACAATTTTAAGTGTTTTTAATTTTGAAATTGAATATCTCAAAGGCATTTCAAATTCTCTCTCCCTGATTACCTTACCTGTAAATATTTACAGAACAAGTAAAATGCTTAGAAAGGCCACAGCCCCTTCATGGGGTGGAGGAACTTCCAAAGGAAGAGTCAGATTAGCTCTGACTCTTAACAAATCTAAAGCAAAGTCTGTCTCACCAAACTCCAGCTCAAAATCTTCGGAGTCATCAACTCCGACTGGGTCATCCACCCAGAAAGCCATCCAAGTTGTAGAGTTATTCACTCAGTAATCTGTGATTCTCAAAAAAGACTCATCCAACAAGGCTGATTCTTTTTCCTAATCCAAAATACCTAAACAAACAAAAGCAGATTATGCTTTACCCATTAGTACTCTCTTAGCCATCCAACAGGAAGCTTGAGTAGTTTACCTAAAAAACCTGGGCAGATATTGCCTCTGAAAACGAGATAGAATTAGACTTAACAAGCCTAAACACCATTGTCCAATCCTTAACCTAAACAATTAACCTTCCTGGAGAAACCAATAAAAATGTCACTCTCTAAAAGGACAAACAAATACAAACTTCTAAGAAAACTCCAAAATTCATCACACTATCTTGCTAAAGGAAAATTTTCCTCAGTATTACAAATGGAACCTGAATTTTGGGATAAAAACCCTTACAAAGTCATTTCTAAAGTCTTTCCTCCTAGTTTTCATTTTAGACCATATGCTTTGAATAAAACCAAACAATTTTACGAATTCATCCTAGTGGATTTAGATTCTGTTTCCATTAAACATTACAAAGACCAAAAGGATTCATCCATTATCACTCATTCAACCATTCAAATTCTCAAAGTAATAAGTCCAAAGAACTTTGAAAAAAATTTAAATTCTTACAAAAAATTCTCCCAATCCTTTGATCCAGTAGGTTACAATTATTAGGATTATATTGATGCTTAGACCAAAGTTTTTTGGTTTCAAAATAAGCTTAATCGACACTCTTGGTTAGTTTATTTTAAAAAGAATCAAAATTATGATTTTCCAAATTAGTTCTTACAATGGTGGAACTTCTTTAGACCAATAGAAGAGATTTTTCCTTTTCCAGTAAAAGAAGGATATACTCATTTCAAGAGCAGATATTCATAGGAATCAAGAATTCTTGCAGATCTTAAATATTTCTCTGTTTTTACTCTAACTTGGGTGTTCTCATGGCAATACAGATATAACAAAATAGACAAAGAAGAATACTCCCCATCCTTCACAGGTATTCATTTGTAAAATGGTAGAACCAATTCAATACAGGTCATGCAGGACCTTCAGAAGTCAATGAATTCTTCGAAGCTAATCCTAAATTATTAAAGCTTGCTGATCCAGCAACATTCCAATTTCTAAACCAAAAATCCAGAATTGCAACCTTATTATCAGGATGTGATTCAAAAGAAAAATTGAAGGATAATCTTAAAGATGTTCTCCTTCTTCTTCAAAGTCAAGATGAAGCTGAAACTTCTTCCAAGAAAGATTCTCAGTCTAAAAATGACAAAGACTTCTATCAGAATGAAGATGACTGTTTCGATATAGATATTAAAAAATTGTAACCTGTACTATAATCAATAATTCCTGTTATTAACCAGAACTATAGAAAAAGTATTTTAATTTTCTATAAAAGGAGTCATTGATCATGTTGTGAGACACCCTTTCATTTAGTCATTCAAGAGAGTTTTAGAGAGAGAAGCTCCGAGTGAAATAATCCTTTGTAAGCTTTTCTTTCAGTTTTAATAAAATCTTGTTTCTATACAATTTTCTCTCTTCCCTCTTAGTTGGTTCTGTTCTAATTACCCTTGTCCAGCTTTCTTCTCTTTTCCCTCCACTAAATTTGTGTTGATTCTACCGCCGTTCTAGTTTCTAATATTTTAAATTTCTGCATTTACATTTTCTGCATTTTATTTAGTAGTCCTGCTATTGTCTACTTTTTTTTTTTTAGCTTAATAACTTTTCTTCCTTGATCCACACCGGGTTCTCTATATTTTTAAAAATAAAATATATTTTTAGAAAGAAAATCAAACATATTCTAATTATGTAACTTTTTAAAACTAGCTTTTAAATTTGAGTCCGATGAAAAGAAGAATTGATTTAGCTTGCAGCCCAATTAGCATTGCAGCCTAGATTAGTATCTAGCCCAAAACCATGACAAAGAAAAGCCTATAGCTCAAACATACTTAGACTATCAATATTAGTGATAAGAAAATAAAATAATGGCAAAAAACGGAAAATAAAATAAGTTGACATAAAAAATGAAAATAAAAATAAAAATGACAGACTAGGCACAATGGGCCTACGGTTGACGTTGGCTGAGCTCGACCATGAGCTTCTGGTGCAACCGTTCATGGCATCTGATTGCTGACTTGACGGCAATATATGGTGGCTCTCGGTAGCCTGTTTGAATTGGCATCAAATATGGGTAATAATTGATTTTACACACCACGATAGACCGGTGTAAGTGAATTTTGCAAAAGTCAATGGCTTAACAACACCCATAAATATTCACTTTCAACTAAATACAGTTTAGATGAGCCAAGAGAAATGGTATTAACCTAAATTTATTAAAAGTTAAACAATTATGTGAGTTTTATTTTTTCTTTGTTAATATTTTTTTTTTGATAAATTTTAGTTAATAATTGAGTGTGCTTAAAAGATGTTAAATAGTATATATTCTTGTCACTGTGTCATAATAGGTTATAGATCTTTTCAAATGTATGTGAACTTGTATTATTTCTTTATTAGGTTTCAATGTTCTCATATTTCAGGAATTGTTTTTTGTCAATGCAGTAGAATTTTTTTTTTTTTTGAAATATGAACAACACTTGAGTCAAGTTCTTTAAGAATTTTTTGAGCTATTTTTTTTTTATTAAAAACTTTATTTTTGTTAAATTCGTACTCGAAGAATGTTATAAGTTATTAAGGTAAAATTCTAATTTTAACTAAAAATAATAAAAAATCGTAATTTTATACCAAATTTTGTCCTTAAATATATTATTTACGAGTTATATTAATTTTCGTTATTTTGGTTGAGAATTTGAATGAGTTAGTGATTATTATGACCACTATCATAAAAGCTTATCAGCTAATAATTTTTTTTATCATCTCTTTCCTTTTTATTCATCTTGTTTTCGATCACATTACTCATTGTATTTTTTATTTTTTCTCTCTTTCTATTTTTGTTTTTCCTATCTCTTTCCTCCTCCTGTTATTTAACAAAAAAATGAGTTTTATATTTTTCCTTTTCACCAATACCTAAAATGGCATGCTCTGAAATCTGGCCTCCGTTTTCTATCTAGGAAAATAGCGTCCTGCATTTTTCAAAAATAAATAAGAGACCCATTTTTCAGATACAATTGGCCTTGTTTTATTCCATACACTTCACAATGATTTACCAACTCTTGCAGATAATTCCACAACCAAAGAAGACCATAAACACATACTGTAAGATTATTACATATATATAAATGGACAATGATTCTTAGCCTCCATATTTCAACTACAGACGCATAAATATAAAACAAAAACACACTTATTACTTCACTTATTAATCTTTCTTAAATGATTAATTCACTTTCCTGCAGTTAACACGAATTTCACCTTGATCCCCAGTGAGGGGTTGAATATTTCCCATCTTAATCATGGAGTTCCCAAAATCCTGAAAGAAACCTTGGGCATCATAGCTGTACTGGCTAACTAGTGCATCAGTAGAACCACCATTGTAGAGTTCCTGATCAGAGTGAAGAAGACCACTCTTTTGAACCAAATAAGAGAAATAAGCCACGTCAAAGTTCGCAGGTGTTGGGTCAAGAGGAGAAAGGTTGAAGTCACCACCAACTTTTGGGCAAATGTATGCAAGGTGTTGTGCAAAGTTGGGATCGATGTCAGAATCATTGTAGATATGGTCCCTAAACGAAACACAACGTGCAAATCCAATGGTGTGGCCTCCAGAAAGAACAACAAGGTCCTTCTCGTCAAGACCATGGTTTTGAAAGTTGCTTATAAGTTGAGAAAGACTGAAAAATGGTGCTGGAATCTCTGCATTTGCAGCATCACGACTTGCTGTTATGGAGTCTCTTCTTCCGAGTTGCACGTCCCATGTGGGTCCCCCTAACTGCATGGGGCATGCAAATTATTGATAATGGCAATTTTCATTCATGTTACAAAAAAATTAAAATGTTTTCTATATCTCTAAATCATATATGAGTGCACCGACTTTTAGACGTGTGGGTTAAGAATCGAAAGTTTATATTTGAATATGATGTTTAACGAGTCAAACACTCAAGCTTTATTAATAGCATTACAGAAAACATGTCATTTATTCATCTTAATATTAAATTAATTTTTGTTAGAATCGATCGTTTTAGTAAAAATTAGATTATTAATATAGATATTATAAGTTTATACTGGTAAAATGATATATTTTATTAGTAAATAATTTTGTTTGTAAAAATATTAATATATATTATTAACCTATCAAATGTTAGTATAATGTATTATTTACTAGTAAAAGTCTTTGGGGTTTATATTATCAATTTATTTTATTAAACAAAAACTATTATTAACATGCTATGAAAAATATATCTCATCGTCATGAAAAAAGCATGCTTTTTATATTATGTAAATATCAATTAATCCTTTATAAAGAAAAGAAAGAGAGAAAGAAAAAATAAACTCTTTTATGCAGGTAAAAAAGTAGTGTATAAATAGTTAATGTGAAATAATGATAACATGTATCTTGATTAAGTCATCTTTAAAGCTGCTCTTTAGTCAATTGCTTATTTTGGGCTTTGGAAAAAATACTGTTTACTTGTTGCATCCGTTCTTTATAACAACAAGGAATGTTTCTTAATTCTGAAAGTGAGTTGCACTCTCATCTTTATTATATTTCCAAGAAAATTAAAAACAGTTCTACAGTTATTTATACCACTTTTGTTTACAAGCTGTTAAGTCAAAGATTTTATAGAAAAGAGAAAAGAAGAAAGCATTTTGTTTTAATTTGCAACATTGTACCCATTCTATTTTGACCTGGTAACTGAAGCATATAAAAACTGAACTATATGTCGATATCAATTCGCTTCAAAACGTAAGCATTATAATAATAATAAAATATAAAATACATGGGCAAACATCAAACTCAGCATGTGGGGTTGGAAGTAACAAGTAAAATAGTTTCACTCACCGCAACCACAGAGTCTCTAGCGGCCACAGCCAAAATGTCAGCACAAGAAACAATTGGTTGTCCACATGCTTCGTCCACCGCTTGCTTGATCGCATCCACCACTTCAAACCCTCGAGCAGATTGGAAATTAGGATTTGCATTCTTTTCACTGTCAATGGTTGGTGAGGGGTCAAGAAGAATTGAACCATCACAACCCTGAATCACCGTCACAAAACCCAGTGATTCATCAAACTCAAAACAGTTAGATCAACTAAGAACCCACGAATACACATTCGCGTGCTTAAACACACACATGTGACTTCATATACAATAAGAATAAGAGTAGTGTCAATGATATACCTTTAAAATCATTCTAATTTATTGGTTGAAATTTATTAAAAATTAAAATATATAAATAAAAATTATTAAATTAAAAGTGAGACTCATATACTTTTAAGATTTTTAATACAATTTAATTAATAATAAAATACTTAAAAAAGTATATGATCAAATAAAGTTTAATAAAAATGATTAAAGGACCTCCTAAAAATATTGTTAAATGGATTTAATGATCTATATTTATTATTATTAGTTCTTACAATAATCAAATATTTTTATTTAAATAGTTTTATGTCCACGCACAAACAGATATACACATGCACATTAGAAATGATACATCTCAACTCGATCTTATTACAATTTTTTTAATAAATGTAGAGAGATAAAAAAAAAAAAAGAGAAGTCATAAATAAAGTAAATAATATGAATTTTAAAAAAAATGGAATTATAAAAAGGCTGTAAACATAAGAGATAAAAATAGCATTACTCTATATACATGTATAATACACACATACATATATATGAAAAAATAGACTTACGTTAACAAAGCAGTCATGGAAGTGCAAGCGTAGCAAAGAAGCGCCCATACGATTCTCTTTCTGCACGGCAGCCTCCACGACGTTTTTGATTGTGCTCAAAGCGTTGGGGCACGAGTAGTCATAGTAATTAGGTGACAATTGTGAGAAAGCGGAGGTTGCAAGAATTGCAAGCACAAGTGCACGAAGAAGAGCTGAGAAATACCCATGCGAGGCCATTTTATTATGTAATGATGGATTAGAAAGTATATGGGGCCTAATATCTTGCTAGATAACAAGATCACTAGTGAAAAATGATAGAACCAATTATATAGTATTTGAGTTTTCGAATGGTGCGTTGTTTTTATAATCTCGGGGGAGTGCACTACATAAAGTAATAGTGACTGTCCTATATGATGCCTAGTGGGGTTTGGACTTGGCCTAGGAAAAGACCATTTCACCCGGAAGAAGCATTCACTGTAGGTGTTAATAAGGAACTAAGGAAGTATGTAACTTCCCAAAGTTTCCTTAAGAAATTGAAAAGAGGAATCTGACCAATAGCTTGATTAGTCCATTTGTTATTTTTATTATTTTCTTTCCTTTCAAGGGGCCTTGCATTGGGGTTGGACGCCAACCACAACAAATAAGGACAAATTCATCTAGAGGGAGAAAATAAATGGTTCATATAGTAAATTAATGACACCAAATGAAGATTATTTTTTATATTATTTTTAGATAAAAAAATAGTAACTATCAAAGGAATATATAAATATTACAGCAGGATAAAAAATGGTGTGTGCTATGAAAATTTTTTTATGGGTATCATACCTAAAAAATTTATACCAATAAAAAAAAATACATGACAAGTTAAAAAAATATGATTATATATAACTTATTTAAAATTATATTATTTATACTATTTGCTGTATGATGCTATTTTATATATATATATATATATATATATATATATATATATATTGTATATTAAATTTTTTTAATTTATTTTTCTGTTATTGTTTTATAAATTTTTAGTTTCGAATAAAAAGAATTATAAATAATATATTAATTTAATAATTAAATTTAATAATAATAAAATTAAGAATATAAAAAATATATTAATATAATAATATTATTTTATTTTTAAATTTTAATTTATTTAGTTTTAATTTAAATATTCTTTAACTTATTTAAATATAATAATTTATTATACCTTAAAAAAAAATTATGAGTTTTATAGAATTTACCATAAATAACTCATAACGATGAATTATTATATCATATCTTAATAGCTCAAAGTGAACGGAACTTTTCCTTGCCAAAATTTCTGCAGTCCGTAAAATTCTAGCCGTTAAATTGTGTTTTGAACGGTTAAGATTAGTTAAAGAGAGAAAAAAATGGAAGATTATTAAAAAAAATGTTTAATGGATGATTTACACATTATTTTTAATAAAATATATTTTCAATTTTTAAAAAATATATTTTTATAAAAATAATTTTAATTTTTTATAACTTATCTTTGGTTTTAATTGTAATATATAAGAAAAATAAATTTTAATTAAAAATATTTTTTAAATTTATTATAATTTAACATCAATTTAAAATATTATTTGTATAAAAAATAATCCTTAATAATTTATGTCCTGTGGTATTTATATATATTTCTATTAAAAATTTTAAAAATACATTAATTTTGATAAAAAAAAATAATTTTATCTTTTTAAATATTTTATATCTTAAACTATTATGTTCTGTTTATATCTCTTAAATAAAATAACATAATAGTATACATTAATCAAAATAGGTTTACCCAACTGAGATAATTTGAACTCGTTTGATAAAATATAAATTTTAAATTTAAATTAAATATTAACTTGATTAAACTCATAGAAAATTTTAAAAATTAATATTTTTAGACTTAAGCACACATTTTTTAACCTCAGATCGAAAAGAATCAAGTTGGTTTGTTTTCTCTTTTTAAAGAATTTTTTTAAAATTAAAAAATAGAAAAGTTTACTTGTTAATATAAATTTTTAAAACTATTTTTTAAAATTAATTTTTATTTTCAGTTTTTAAAACTGAAAAAAAGAATTACTATTTAGGTTTTTTTTTATTTTTCTGTTTTTCTTTCTAAAACTAACAAAAATTTAACTAAAAATAGTTTTAAAATTAAATTATAAAAAATATTTTATTTTATTTCTTATAACCAGTTTTATAAAATTGTTTTAAAATATAATTTTAAAAATTAAAAATCAAAATTAAATCAAACAGGCCCTTTTTTACTTTTGTTTTTCTTTAAACTCATTAAGATTTTCTTTTTAACTTTGTATATCTAAAACATTCTTTATAATAAATAAAAATCCTCTGACCGAATGTATCGGTGACCATCAACTTAATCACTCTTCTACGTGAAAAAATAATCTCTTCACTCACCACAACCATTATTTATCCTGTGAACATCTATGTTAACATTGGAAATAAACAATTATTTGGCATTGGGCCATGAAGGTTCCGTTATTTTTGCAGTGCGATATCCATTGATTTTGAACTAAAAAATTGTTTATTTCCTTAAAACCTCTCTTAATTTGTCAATTTTGGTTTACTTCTTTAAAACCTCTCTTAATTTGTCTCGTAAAGTGTAACGTTCATTTTGAGGTTCAGGAACGGCAATCCACACAAGCTTGAAACACCAACTTCTTAGAGCTTAACTAGCAAAACCATGCCAGTCTAGCAAACTCAAAAAAAACCTAGAAATTAAGTTCAGAAAAAGATACAGTCAAAATAAGTTTTGAAAATTACGTTACTTTTTTTTTTTTTTTAATTTTATTTCTGAAATTGTCTTTCTGTTATTTCCGAATTTAAAGTTCTAAATGTTTCACACGTCAACACTTCATTATAAGTCCAAGTAAAATGCAACATCAAGCTAAACGCGATGTGAGACAAACATGTATACATAACAAGTTACAGGGAATGGATGATTGCTTTTAAGTGAAAAATAGAGCTGTAATGCTCAACAAAGGGACAAAACACGAGAAAAAAAGTGATTTTTCAGAGAAAGAAGAAGAGAAGGTAGAGAATAAGAAGAAGGATATTTTGGCATTAAAAGTTTTAAAAAATTAAGGGAAGGTGTAACTAGTAAAATATTAGTCACAAAAAATAATCTCTCGAACTGAATTCAAATCCTTTTAATTCAACCTCCTGATCTTTACTGTTTACAGCGGACCAACCTGAATGAATCCAATAACGTATTTATTAACTCTTAATACTTAAAATGAATATAAATATTTATCTTATTTTTATTATATTATATTTTTTATTTTATCATTCTCATTGATCCATTTAAGAGTTAGTTGGTCTATGAAATTAAGATTGACATTCCGAATTGTAATTCTAATTAATTAAAATTAGTTTAAAATTACAATTTTTACAATTTAATATACTCACAGAATTATAATGTAGAATTAGAATTTTAAGTTAAAATATATTTAAAAAATTAAAATGTAAAATTAAAATTTTAAGTAGAAATCAAATTCTATAATATAAAATAAAATCTAAATTTTTAAAAAATAATTAAATTGAGTGAACGTTCTAGAAATTTACATTCAGAGGAAATATAGATATAGTCAAATATGTATTTTTGAATAAAATATTGAGCCTAATTATATACACTGCACAGGCGAAGGCCGAAGGATAATTTTGACAGTTGGGTTATAGATGCGTTGTTCTTACAAGAAAGCTGAAATTGTGTCCACTTCGCATTATGCGTGTGCTTAATTATAGAGAGCTAATTAATATAGACCCAATCCCAAAACGTTATTTCCGGAATAAATTATTATTTTAAAATTTAAAATTCTAAATATTTATTTTTAAAAATTTATTTTTATACATTTATATTTGAAAACATTAAATCAAGTATTATTTTCTAAAATTATGGATTAAGATAAATGTTTTATAGTTATGATTGTCTCTTATCAATTAAAGGACTAAAATAAATATTTATTATTGAATTAAAATATTTTAAATGAATAATTTAAAATATATTATACAACTATTTTTTAAATTTAATAAATTTTATAACTTTACAAATATTATAATTGATACTAATAAATATTCAATGCTATTAAATAAAATTAATTTTAAATTAAAAATAAATATATAATGTAAAAATAGCTATATAAAAAAATTAATCTCTAACATATTTCCGTTGAAGAGTTAGTATTCATATATTGGTTGATTCGGTCTTTCAAACTTGAAACTATTAGATTGGAATTCGTTTAAAATAACTATACGTTCAAAATTTGTAAATGCATATATGGTGAGGGGGTTTATTGCAGTGGTTGAGTAATATGTGGTGAAGAAATTATTTTATAGTAGTTAATTAAAAGTTTAATTATGTCAACTACTTGAGATCAAGTTGTAAGAAATGTTTTATATTTTAATCACTTAACCCTTTTGACCAAACTTGAGAAGTGTTGAGATACGCATGATTAAAGTTGTTCGAATACTACCTAATTATAATTTTAAAAAAGAAAACCCAAATCATAACTAGTACTTTGAAGAAGTAAAATTTTAATATCCTTTTACTTTTTATAAATTTTTTATTTTAAAAGTTTTAATGAAGAAAATCATACAAAATTATATGTTTTTATTTTTAATTAAAGAATTTAAAACTTAAAATCTTTGTTGATTAATTACTTAATCAATATCATTGAAGCACTGATTAGTAATACCTTATAAAAAATAATATACCGTTATACAACTAAGTAGTCTACAATATTCATTGAACAGTATTTTTGTAGGAAAAATATTTAGATAATATAATCACATTTTTTATTGTTGAAAATCCAGACTTAATACATATTTTATTGTAATATATTGATATGATTGGAATGAGTCTCTCGTTAAAGCTCTCATGCGTTACATCATCTAGAACTAAGCTCTTGCTCAAGGCACTCTTCTTGTCTGGTAACTTCTTTTTATTTTTCTTTTTGATTGGTATAATAGCATTACTGAATATATTAAATATATCATTAAGCTCTAAATAATCTGATTGTATAAGAGTTAAAATACACCATATACTCCTATTATATAATTTGGCTTATAAAAATTAAATTTAAACTAAAATCCTTTCATATATAGAATGGACTTATGGATCTTTAGTTAGCCTACATTTTAAATAATATAATAAAAAAATTAAATTATTAATAAGAAAAGAAACTATTAATGTTACACATTTAAATAGA